GTCTTGACAATGTGATCTGATCAAGGCAAAAGATGAGGGCATTTATTCCCCTTTTCTTTATCCCAGTTTCGTGGTGGCATAGTTTCATGGGCCTGTGGAGTGGGCCCTCTAGTAACCAAGAACCACAGCGCCTGGTATCCTGGTCCCTGAGATGTTGTACCTGCTGGTGGTAGAACTTTCTCAGAACAGAGGAAGCTTTTGCCAAACCAAAGTATACTGATCCTTCCAGCAGCAGAGCTTTTCTTTGCATATGGAGTACCACCTCTGCTACATCCCAATCCCTTCCAGACAACAAAGCGGAGTTAGGTTTGTATTGCAAGTTATTCTCATTGTTACTAATGCAGACATGAGTCCAGAATCTACTTTAATGAAGTGGTCTGTTTGGAGATAAACAATGCCAAAGAAATGGAAACTACATCAAGGTAAATAACATTAGAGTTTAGCTGCAAAGAATCATATACAGCAAGGAAGTATATGCAAAACAAAACAACCTCATCTAAGGAGAATGTAAGGCTGGAAACTGCTGTTAACAAAGCCTGTGGTATCTGGATTCCAGTAATGAGATGACAAATTTCTTACTGTTTACTTTAACCAGAATCCACTCTGTTTTTAAAAAATGGGTAACATTAGCCTAGGCGTGTGGTGCAATTTTGTATATAGCTCACATGCAAGATCCTTAAAATCTATGCCCTCCAAATAAAGGAAAGGGACTTATCATGTATCTTGATCAGGTATGGACATAGCATTTCACATATGTGAACCCAAGTGCACTCTACTTCATAGGGAGCATGGCTGGACACAATTTCAAGCGTCACTGCTCTGCCCACCAGGAGGGCTATTTGAACTGGCCCCTTTTCACCAAGAGTTATATTCTGGCTTGGCAGTACTTTTTATATTGTGGAGATAATTATATGAGACCTCATGTAGTACAGCAGAGAAGTGCTAGCCTTAAAATTACTTTTAAAAGGGGGGAAATGACACTGACAAATGCCACAAAGTGTGGCTTCTACAGCAACTAATCGAGAGGTGCCTGTGTAGTCATACAGCTACGCTGCATTACACACAGGCGTCTGTTGCTAAGTCCACAGTCCCTTTGTCCATTGTAAGAAGGAAGCTAGCTAAAGGCCAGGCACCAGAAACAATGCACTGCTGTTTAAGTGCTGGGAGCGCTGCAATGGAGGTGTGACCTGCAGGAAAGCCATCTGCTACTGAAGGGACTTCATGTCTCAAAGATCCATTTGCAAAAGCCCCAAGCCAATAAAATCCTGTTGTCAGAAAGCCTCCATTTTTCATCTCGTTTGTATCTAGTTGCCATGTTGGCAAAAGTAAGTAACCAAGTATGCTGGATCCTCAGGACTGCAGAGTGAGAGAATATTTAACCTCTTAATGCCTGTGGCTACGGAACTGAAGACAAACTGAGACACTCTTCCTCACACGATCAGGGCGGTATCTTGCCACTCATTCACTGACAATACAGAGAACACTGAACATTTTAGTGACCTTTGTTGTTTAGGAACAAAGAATAGCTGCTTAGCGTCTCAGCATACAACCTTGATGTCTCTATCCCTTTTGCACCACTTGGAATGTATGATCAGACACCCAAGTTTTTGTTTCTTAATTCTCTAACTGCTTATCAACCCATAGACAAAAAATGGTCTTTCTGATATACCCAACTGTCCAAGGTGCACACTTTTATGCTCTTCCAGCTGCCACAGGGACAACCATCTTTGTTTCTCAGCTTCTTGCTATTTTTGTGCCCAGAAGAACCCCTACTGTGGCCTGAAAACATTTAACTCCCTAGATTAGAATCTTTGCATTCCATCTCAGAGGATGTCTTGAGAGGCCCTAGGAAATCCTGAACTCCCTGCCCCTTTGACTAAATCTTACTCAAACACTTCCCCCTTCTCTCAGAAGACATGGATGGGTAAAAGATTCCCTTTTTCTCTCATTGCACCCGAACTTTAATTTACTAGGTTTGTTGCTCCTTTTGTTTCCTCCTCACCTTGCTAGTTCTTGGCCCCCCACCTCTCTACACCCATATCATCCAATCTAGGCACAGAAATCCTTGATTTGCTATAACTCTCCCAGTCTCCCTCCCTTGCTTTCTAGAACAACCTTCAGTAACTTGACCACGGCTTTGTATGTTATCATCTTTTATTAGCACTCCTCTTGGAGTTACTTCCCAAAGTTACTAGCTAGGCCAAACATCCTATGTTACCCATGTTGTGCATAAAAGTTACCCACGTTGCATTTCTATTCTTTAGCGATCTATACTAGTTTCTGAGCCAGCCTAGAATGACCCCAGCTTGTCTTCCAACAGGACAAGACACAGAATGTGCAGAGAGAAGAGATTTTCCTAACACCAGACTCAACTCCCCCATTCATCCATTGCTCCTGCGAGGTTCACTCCACGAATGCGGAAATAGGTTCAGGCTTCAGTCCAAGACCGTCGTAAGTCAGCACATGACCCACTGAACTTACTTTTTGAGTAGACAAGTTTAGGACTGCATTGCCAGACATTTGTAGAAACTATGTCACAAGCAAGCTGGGTAACTATTTATTAGCTTTAATGCATTCCTGGATTGATTGGTTGGTTGGTTTGTTGCAACAGAAAAGAGCTTCAGCTCACATCTTTGTGTTAGGCTGCATCTTTAAACCCGCAATATATGTTGCAGCACCCTCAGAAAAAAACCTGCTTCATCAGAAATTGAATATCAGACAAACAAACAAATACTCCCTACCACCTCATGCAAGTCACTCATGAGCACAGGTATCAAGATGTAAATGGAATTTGTCAGCAAAATTTGTTTATTCATTGCATCTTTCATGTTCACAACACTTGTTCTTCCCCACAACAAAGTGTTACACATTAAATACAGTGTTACTATTTTAAAATATTTGTTTTATTAAAAGGTTAATACTTTAAGTAATAGATTTCCCTTTTCCATGGCAAAACAATTAAAACAGGCTTTTAAAGTTAGCTGTTTACTACTCCAAAGGTGTGAATCAAGACTTTGCACTTTTTTTATTACTACCAGATGAACCACATAACATATAAACATGAGATAAATTTCCCATGCCAAATGTGAGTAAGCACAGGGGAAGAATCGAAAGCCTACTTTAGCTCAAGGTTCCAAGTATGAAGAATATGGCAAGCAATATGATGCCTGTTTTAAATCCATTGTCACTTTTGAATGAAAGTATGAGAACATGTCTCAGACACTTTAAAAAAAACATGTTTTATGCATGTCTTTTTTTTTCTTCTGTTTTACACACTGAGGATTGAATTTCATACTATTTTCTAGCTCTTTGGAGCAAGCATTTTACAGTATCCAAGGAGTAGAATGAGAATGTGGCTGGGAGGGCATTCATCCCATTAAGAGGAAAATGGGCCAGGAAAGAAAGGATTGCAAAAGCAACAGTTACTAAAGGTCTGACAGACAATTATCTGGAGCTCTGTGTTTTTCCATAGGCTAATTCTATTCTGCCAAATATCATGACTCGAGGTGAAATCCAACATACACTTGGAGAGTAAATGCTGTTGAATACAGTAGGACTTACTTCCAAGTAAACATGTGCAGGATTACATTGTAATATACTGATGTGAAAAAGCCCTTACAAGAGAAACAGCAAAGAAGCAGGAATTCCACCCTCCTTTGGGGGGGGGGGGGGGAATGGAAAATAAGCAAATTCTGTCCTGAAACTTGCATTTTCAGAAGACTAACAGAATCTTGTGCCATCTGAAATAATTTATTATGACACATATATTCACAGACTACTGTCCATTTCTTCAGAAGCCTATAGTGTTATCCTCAGATATTTATTTCTATTTTGCTGCAACAAAGGTGGTCCTAACACAACTTGGAAAATGCAACACAGATAGTGATTACTGAAAATCATGATTCAACTCCTTCAGCCCAGGCCTTTAAAAGATGCTTCACAAGTTCCAGTCTCCTTAGGCTGAAACCATTCCCATGTTTAAAAATGTGTGCAACTATCACATGAATCATCTATGACCATGCACAGCTAACTATGCATACATATGGAGTACATACAGTAAAGTTTACATGATTATGAACATCACACCCCTACATCTATGTTTCATTTGTTTTCCAACCTGACCAAGTTTCTATGTTGAAGTCTAACCATAGCAAAATGGGCCAAAGAATCTCAGAGCTATGTCTCTCTCTTGACATTTTAAAGTATGAACTTGTTGCTGTTATCCCAAAGAAACTTCTTTTTGAGTGTTGGTGTAGAGAACTGGAAATACGTCTGCCTGTGATGTGCATATCGTGGTCCCATAAGGCATTTGCCAAATATTTATGTCCCCCATGAAGCTTACAAAGACACTGACAAAAAGAAACACAGATAAGGAAACAAAAAGAAAAGAGGCACATAACTTAGCTAATCCATCAGAACCAAATCAGGACTACCAGCAAACTGGGGAAATCAACATCTCCAGAGGGCTTTTGTCTTGTGTTTCCAAGGCGGTCTCGAAAGTAACGGTTTGCTCAAACTTGCCTTGCAATCTAAAGAACCGCACTGCACCCACTAAGAATATATTGGAGCCTCATCCCCAGCAAAACCTAGCTAAGAGCCAGCTACTTTCCGATTAAACTTTACACGCTCGGGCCGCAGGGGGCACCTCTTTAAACTAACGACGTCAAAAGCTGGGTTTCCTCCTTTGGTCACAAATTAGCAACTCTTCCATTCATCTCTTTTAATATAGCGCAGAGCTAACTCAGCCGGGCAACACTGTAGCACACGAGAAGTGGAGAGGGAAAGAAGCATCGGGATTTAAATCTGATCGGAATCCCTCTTGGAAAGCAGCCTGTTGCACTCAAGCATTCTGTACATGACAGGAGGCACTCTGGTCTTCAGTTTCATGCATTGCCCATGCGCTAAAGTTTGTAAAGAGGGGGAGGCCTGGTTCCAATGAAAATGGGGCGGAAGCAGGGGTGTGGGGAGACACAGAGGAGCTAGACCGAGTGAGTTCTTACCTGCGGGAATGGGCGATCGCTCGGGCTCCGGCTCAGCGGGGTGGACCGGCTGCAGATGGATGGCGAAACCTAAGAAGAGGGCGAGTTGTCCGGCGATGCTCCTCGCCATCTTCGGCGCTGCAGCGAAAGCCAGTCGATTTCGCAAATACACCCAGAGGCTTTTCCCACGCGTCTTCGCTCTGCAACCCCGCGAAGGAGTTTCAAGAGGCGATCCGTGGGGTCCGCCGCAGCCCGGGGCGTCCTTTTAACTTCCAGCCCGGTCCGAAGCACGTGTGGTCGCGGTTAAAAGGCCAAAAGAGCCGGGAGAACGCGGGTGCTTCGGGAACGGTCTCCAGGACCGTGGGATCGGAATGGGGAATGGGGAAGAAATTGTGCCAGCAAAATCCAGTTGATGGGGGAGTCGTGGGGGTGGGAGGGCCCCTCCGGCAGCGGCAGATTGGAGCGGGGTGGAGCCGTGGCCCCCTCGTCCTCGTCCTCCCTTGTACCCTCTGTTAAGGGCAATAGGCAAAGGGCATCCCCGGGGCGCGCTGGAGCCTTTATACGCGCGGCTGCTGGGTGGGCGGGAAGGCCGAGAGCAGGCAGAGCCCAGCCAGCCGAAGTGAGAGCGTCTGCAGCAGGAGCGGCAGGTTTCGTGCTATTGGCCATGGGACTTGCGGGGTGGGCGGAAGGCAGAGGGGGAGGGAACGAAAGAAAGGGGGTGTCTTCCTTCTTGCTTCCAGTCTCCCTCCTTGCCCTTCCCACGGCCGCGCCTGCACGGTGCCGGTGCCGAAGGCAGCGCGCGGCGTCCCCAAATGAGCATGTGTGAAGCGCTCGCACATGCTCGGTAGGAGCATGAAGCCCTTGCCCAGACCCAGAGTTTGCCGCTGGGGGACCGCCGCTCCGGGGGACGACGCTCGTCTCTCGACTTGCCCCTTTCCAGACTTCCAGGACCAGAAGAGGCGCGCTCAGGATGGGATGCGCTCCTCGCGGGAGCTTTAGGCGCTTCCCGCTAGGGGGCAGCTGCCGTGGGTCGCGGGGGAGACTCTGGGGGTTCCCGGCTTGATAGTAGTGGAATGCTTAATTATTTTCGTTATTAGCAACATTGCAATTTTAGTTGTTTAGATGCAACGGGACACCACCGTTCTGAACCCCAAATTCTGAACTGGTTCCTCCTAGTCCAGTTTATGTGCGTAGCATTTTTCAATCATGTGCATAGCATTTTTAAAACATGCATAGCATGTTAAAGATTTAACACCTTTTTTTAACTTGGAGGTGGCATAGAAATTATCTACAGAAATAAATGTATAGCAGAATAGTGGCACATGAAGTTAAGATGCCTACGTTTCATAAAGAGCTGTCTACATTTTTTGTTTATTAAATTTATATCCTTAGATAGTTTTATCTAATATGTTTATTAGATTTATATCTTACGAAGAATTCAGAAGTAGTGTACATCATTTCCCACCTTCTGCTCTCAATCTTATGCCCACTGGGCCAGGAGTCTGTAACTGGCCAAAAGTCACCTAGTTGGCTGCATGGATGAGTGGGAACTAGAACCTAGACTTCCTGAATCCCAGTGCCACACTCTTAACCATGACACCACATGGCTTTCTGTGTGGAAAGTGTCATACTATTTCCAGCCATTTACCTTCTGCAGCAATTAGCAATAATTTATAGCTCTTATCAAGCCTTAGCTTCATGAATTCCATTTTCTTCTGACCTGTTTACATTTTCCACATGCACACACTACAAACATAGCTGCAACTCAGCATAACACCTCATGCATATGATGAAATGGACAAATGCTTATGGCATACTAACATTTATGTATATACTTACTTAGTTGTTACATTTTTATACAGCCCAATAGCAGATGTTGTCTGTGTTGCTCACAACATAAAATACGGTATACAAATAGATAAAACAACAGTATAACTGAAGAAAATCCTTGAAGCTGAAGAAAGATTTAGAATACAGTACAGAATTTAAAATAGTGTGAACCTAGAAATCCTGGGAAAATAAGATCTGCACCTGGTACCAGAAATTGTACAATGTACCCTAGTAGAATGTACATGTTCATTACATAGTTGATTTGTTCATACAAAATGTATTAACATTTGTTAAAACAAAATCCTTGTTGCTTTTGCTGCAACTGATCAACACAACTCCCCTGCTGAGAATTATTTCTTTGGAGTAACTCTAGTATCCCAAGTTCCTTTTTTAAAAAGCAAATCAATAATTGTTTATAAATTTCCTGAAGCTAAATTCTAAAGCCCCTTATGCATGTTTTGACAGTGAAAACCCTCCTACAGTTCCAAACATCCCCCCAACCAACATATAAGGATCTGAAGAATTGCCTTTCTCTACTTTTTGATCTATACTGATCTCATTTTCCTGTTCTCACATGACACTGGGGGCTAGTGTAGACCCTTTCTGATAATGTGTTCTTTCATTCCTAGCAGGTGTACCTGTCCAGGTCATTGTCACATTCATCACAGAAGAGACATGTATAGATTTCTGTGTCCCTATCAGTTTTCCAAAATGCTTCCCTGACTCTCTGGCAGCTGTTATTAGCCATAGCAGGGAATGTCAAAGGTAACCCCATATTCTCTCATGCGCACAGGGAAAAACAGCTTTCAGACAGGAGTTAATTTGAGGAAATGATGTGGAAAGGGTTAAACTCACAACCTTAACACCAGGGCCTAACTGCCAATGGAAGATCTAGTAACTGCTTCTTGTAAAAGTCTTGTGAAAGACGCTGAGATATTGAATCATGGATTTATACTGCCTAGATATAGAATGACCATAGAAAATGTTAGTGTTGGCAGAGTGAGTACAGAAATCAAGAGCCTTGGCCATTGGACAATATAAAAATGAAATAAATAAATAAACTGGTGCATAAGACATTTAAATGGTTCACCAATTGAAAGACAAGCTCATTTAAGCCATCTAGCACATGCCACTGTTTCCATAAGAAATTCCTTGGCATTGCTGATGAAAATGTCCTTCATGACCCATAAGTGCTTGCTAGATCCAAGAAATATGTTACTTCCTGGTAAATCTTCATACTACAAAACGGTCTGCCAAAATTAGCTTATTTCATGAACAACAATCAAGTCTAAGGCTTTTGTTTTGTTTTGTGTTTTGTTTTCTTTTCTTTTCTTTTTTTGGTTTTTCCAATACTGGTTTAATTCTGTGTAGAATTTTTCAGATTAATATGCATCTGTGTTTCATTATGCCATGAAAATTGTGCAAATTAGGTTTTTTGCCTGCTTCTGCATGATGTGTTCAAATTAGCAACATGAAACTTATTTGAGTTTCCAGAAGCAGCCATGTGGCTCTGTTTTTTTGTTTTTTGTTTCCCTTCCAAAGGAAGCACTGATCCCCTAATAAGTTGTGGCATGATGCACAGTATTTGGGACTTGGCTTCCTTTCTTGCCACCCCACATCTCCTGGAATACTATTCCTAAAAACTATTGCAAAATTTGACTGACAAACATGAAAATAAGATCTGTGTGGAAAATGCTTATTTTGCATAATGGTATCTGATCAATACAAAACTGAAACATGTCTACATGGCAAATATGTTTTTGCTGGTGTGCATCATACTGGGCCTGGCATGATGGAGCTAGGATCACAGTGGTTCTTTGCCATGTGTACATATCTTGTCCAGCATATAATAAGCAGGAATAGTTTCCAGAGCAGAAAAAGTCTTCCAGCAGCTGTTAGGCATGCAAACTAAACCAATTTTCCTTTCTCAAAGATGACATGCTACAAAATGCCAATTGCTGGTGGTGCATTTAAGCTTCCTGCAGGCATCTATCTGGCTACAGCTGGAACAGGGTTAAGAACTACAGTCTAATTTTAGAATGATGTTATAGATGATCCAAAGATTCTGAAAACTACAAGCACTGTTTAAATTATTTTGGTGAGAATAATTAATTATGTCTTAGAGAGAGTTATAGATTAGAGATAATTTCTTGCGTGCTAAAAAGTACCATTTAAATTAAGATGGTGATAATGATGTCTAAGTACTATAGGAAAGCACTATAGGAAATATTATACATCATGTTTGACATCATTAGGTACACCAGGCAGCTATACTGAGTAAGGGTGCTAGATGCTATTTTAATTCCTTCTTATGCCCCCAGAGAGTACATCACTCCTGAGCAACACTACTGCAGGGACAGGTAGGTTACCTGCAGCCCACAGCCTTATTGCCTGTAATCACCAATGTCGATGCACACGTGTGTGTGTGCACGCGCACACACACACACACACACACACACACAAAGAGAGAGACAGCAAAAAGCTAGTGCTGGACCTTTGTTGGTCACCTTGTCAGTGGTAATCATGTGTCTCTCAGAAGTATGCTTTCTTTCTTGAGAATCTGAACAGGAAAGGATAAAGAGATTTTGGTGGTAGTGTTGCTGTGAACCACACAGAGAGTTTCAGCTATTGGGTGGTATAGACATTACATTTAAAAAGAAATATCTTTAAATGCCCCCTTTTCAGAGTTTCCTTTAAATTTGCTAACAATCCAGCTGAGCATTGCAGTATAGGTGATGCTAACCCTAAATTAATTCCAGTTTCACCATACAGAACCAAGTCCATTGCATTTAAACTTAAATGTAGCATCAAAATAGCTTCCCTAAATTTGTCAAGCCTTGAAGAGCAAGTCAGGTCATCAAAGCAGCTCACAGCTAGGAAGAGGGATGAGACCCACCTCACAGTTTTGCTGACTACGCCAAGACTTCCCTGCTAGCATGCTTGGCAATGATATTTCCAGAAGAAAAAGTGGGAGCGTAAGGTAGATTTCTTACAGAGCTCTGGCATTTGGTCAAGGATGCTGCAGACTGATGCCGGGCCTGAAAGTACAGGCGTGCCTGTGCTCCAGTGAGCTTGTACCCTGTCCTGCAAGGCTGTGTGTCAGGGCTGCTCATATCACAGTGAGCAATGTGAGCCCTGATGCAGAGAGGCATGGGTTCAATAACCATTTTAAAAGCTCCCAGGGATTCTTGCCTAGGACCTGAGTGAGCTGTCATGACTCAGAACTGAAAATACTAGGCTAGAGAGCCAAGCAATCTGACTAATTAGAAGGCAGCTTAGTGTGTATTTAAGGTAGCTTTATAATAGCCTTCCCAACCAGGTGCCCTTCAGTTGTGTTGGAGAAGCGTAGCAGCTAGGAAAGGGGTGTTGTAGCCTCACACATCTGGAGGGCACCAGGTTGCAGAAGGGTACTCTAAAACAAAAGCTTAGACCAGTCACTATTTCTTAGTAACAGATTCCTATCTGCCAAATAGAATCCTAGCCAACTGCACACTGTAAGGAAAATGATACCATTGGAAGGGCTGCAGTTTATCTGACAGAACCCATGCTTTGCGTGCAGAAGTTCCACGGCTAAAACCTGACATCACCAGTTCGAGGAGC